CACCTCGGCTTCACACGACTGGGCTGCATAACGAGTCCCAGTGTCCACTTGCTGAGCTCCATAACAACCGAGCTCAGTAGCATTCCGGTAGAGCTAAGTTCCAGACAGGTCGAGCCGACAAACAAAAAGCCTTCTCGCCAAGCTAAACGTGCGAACCATGGAACCCGGGTTAGCAGGTGACCAACTCGACCAAGTAAGCTCGGCCCATACATGGGGCTTAACCCTCGGCCGAGCAAGATCGATTATGGACACAGACAAGCCCAAGTAGCTTGGCCCCAACTTGATCCTAGACCTTGACCGAGCAAAACCGCCTCTAAATAGGCTCAAGTTAGCTCGGCCCAAACGTGCTTGGCCATCTTCTGTCCGGCTTCTACCCCAGCCCAAAGCCAGATTATAAATCTCCCTCTCAATTGCCCCTTAATTCCGTCCGAGCAAGCGTGACTGGGATTACACGATCTGACTGGGGTAGATTCTCCCTTGGTCCTTAGTTCGCAAGGCGTCAGCTGCGCTAATCCCCACGCTCAGTTTCTAGACTTGCTCGGACGATGCCTCAACCTGCCATCTTGTCTCTTCAGTACTGACGCCGCCGCCATTATGGACACGCGTCGATCATTGATTGGCCTCGAGCAGCCAACCCATCCATCCCTTCATATTCAAATTTTAGCGGTTCTTCTCCTTTAAATACACCACCTGTCCCTTAACATGCTCTTTTTACTATTTTTCTCTCGTTCAAGACGACCCAAAGTTGTAGTGCTCTCCCCACTATCAAGCACCCTTCTTGCTCTTTGAAGATTCAAACTTAGCCTCCTTTTGGTAAGTTCTACGAGTCTTTTTACTGCTTTTTGATTTCGTATTTCACATTCTAGGGCACAAAAACCATTGGTTTTAGGATATAACCCCCCAAAAACCCTCTTCTGCCCCTGCTCTCTCTGCTGTTCTTCAACTCCAGTGATGAACACATGAAGCTCGTTTTGCGTGACCGCGCTCCCACTTACACTTGCCCTCCTTTTCCTGCAGAGTTCAAGGGGACCACGCACTAACACTAAGGCTCTCAAAGACCGAGCAGCCATCAAACGAGAGTTTTTGACAAACCAACACAGCCGTGCTAAAAACAGCCGGCTACACATAGGGCGCTACCACTTCCTAGTTGATACACCGGTTGCATTAGCCGCGTTTTGGGAAGAATATGGCATCCCTGCTAATGTACACCTCGAGCTCGGTGAGGAGGACACAGCCCCTTGGGGCAGACTTGATCAGTGCCCTTTCACCGTTCTTTCCATTATCGAAGGCGGCCTTCGCTTCCCGGTCAATCCCCTCATATGCGAGTTCCTGAGACGCACCAGGCTAGCACCGACGCAAGTCTCAACCAACACCTATAGGATAATTAACGGGATAGCCGAGCTAAATAACCGGCTAGGAACTAACCTAGGATTAGCCGAGATACTTCGCCAGTATACCCTCGGGCATACAGGCGACGGCCTTGCCTATTATTTAAAGATCAGATCGGACAAGAGAAGATAGTGACCGGCACCCCAGACAAAGACATGCATGACGACGACTTTTTCTGGGTGTCCGGTAATTATGAAATAGCCGACGTGCCGGGCTAGTATATCAGCAAGGACTTCGGTTCAACATGTAAGCCGTGCTAACTGCTCGGTCAAATTAATTTCTTTCAATATTCTGTACTTAATATCTTTTCTTCTTCTCCTCTTTGCAGCAATCGAAGCTTTGCAAGCCAACTACCATTATCCCAACGAAGCAGCCATCAGAACCGTGCTGTGGTACCGTAACCGAGATTACCACGAACTTCTCAGCTACGTACCGACCTACAGATACTTCGCTCCCCGCCGGAGTAGAGTGACAGACTTCCTCCGAGCGCCGTCTCTACCTCTCGATCCAACACTACCGGGCGTGTCCCTTATCCAGTTAACTGAAGCAGAGGAGATGGTGAAACATAGCCGTATCAAAAATCTTATCACCGCCACCTTCACCGAGCTACTGAGCATCCCCTCCCGTACAGCCGTTGCCGGTCAATCAAGCGGGGTCGTGGTCGTGGTCGCGTTGGCGTCAACTGTCGTGGTGCAGACAAGCAAAGAAAGCCGCCATGCTGGTAAAAGGCCTCGCACCGCCGATCCCTCGGTCGAGCTCGTAACGGAGCTGAACACTGAGCAACCAGCGGTCACAACTGACCCAACACCTCCATGGAAGCCCTAATTGAAGCACCAGGGAAAAGAGATCCCGGCCAATGCTTCGGTCAAAGGGGACAAGGAGCACTTCTTGCAGGCCATCCAGAAACAACATCTGGTGATGGAGCGGATTCATAGACTCCGGCAGAAGGCGACGGACGCTGCCAGCCAGGTTGAGCACCTTCAGACCTAGCTGGGACGGTCAAAAGCTTCTTTGGAGATTGCGAACTCAGACAACTCCAAATTGCTCAGCCAACTTGGAACCACCGAGCAAGAAAGAGACGCTCTCCGGGCCGAGCTGGAAACGTTGAAACAAGCAAGAAAGGATGAGCTGGAGGAAACGAACAACTTAGGTTTCAAGGAGGCCGAGGAAAACTATACCAAACAAGTTCATGCCACCCAGGATATTTTCTTCAAGGCTGGTTGTGAACAGCTCGGCCAAGGATTTGGAACCGACATGTTTGCCTCTCCCCAGCTGCCTTCCTACCGACATACATGGTGTCATATGCCAACGATGTCTTCAGCGCATTGCAGGTTGAGGCCGAGGAAGAAGGCGCGGAGGAAGCCGAGAAAAATGTCGAGGGAGATAGCCGCCCAAAGCAGGCCGGCCAAGTTGAGACCGGCGTCCAAGAAACCACAACCACGGTCGACCTGGAGGTAACTGCAACCGGGGATGACTTCGCCGTCCTATCTCTCTTAGTTTAGTTTTCTTTTCCTTCTTTTTTGCTTTTAAGAATGTAACCGGGCTGCCAGTCCCACCGTATGTAATTCTGTTTCACATCAATGAAAAGTTCTGATTTTGTTAACTGTTGTACTGCATATTGCACTGTGTTTCATCATCTCGGCAAAAACCTTTAACAAAATCTCGATTGAAACCATAGTTGAGTAAACCATCTCGGTTGAAATCACAGAGTTGAGCAAACTATCAACTCATTCAACCGGAGTAAAATATCTCGGTTGAAATCATAGAGTTAAGCAAATCATCAACTCAGTCAACCGGAGTGAAACATCTCGGTTGAAATCACAGAGTTGAGCAAATCATCAACTCATTCAACCGGAGTAAAACATCTCGGTTGAAATCACAAAGTTGAGCAAATCATCAACTCATTCAACCAGAGTAAAACATCTTGGTTGAAATCACAGAGTTGAGCAAATCATCAACTCATTCAACCGGAGTAAAATATCTCGGTTGAAATCACAGAGTAGAGCAAATTATCAACTCATTCAACCGGAGTAAAACATCTCGGTTATCACCTCAGAGTGAGCATCGAAAACAACAGAATGCTTCAGCGAAGATAAGTCACTTCTATTATATTGACAAAAAGAGTGTTACATTCAGAAGTATAGGGAGAGCAAGTCTTTCCACAAAAAATTACATAAGAACGTAAAATGCTAAAAATAGTACAGTTTGAGGTTGGTCGCATTCCATGGTTGGGGTATGCCTTTTCCTTCCAAATCTTCCAAGTGATATGCCCTCTTGCCCGCCAGACCGGTTATCTTGTAAGGCCCTTCCCAGTTTGCCCCTAGCTTGCCTTCGCCCGGCACCAGTGTGTTACCCATAACCTTCCTTAGAACCCAGTTGCCCACTTTAAACGGTCTGGGGTGCACGGTTTTGTTGTATTTCCTGGAAAATTCTTGTTGTTATGCGGCCATGTGGACCAAACCTTTTTCTCGGCGCTCTTCAGCTAGGTCCAATTCTAGGGCGACTGCTTCAGAATTCAACTCGGGCTAAAAATTTTCACTACAGATGGTGGGCATGCCGATTTCCAATGGGATAACTGCCTCCATGCCGTACGCCAGGGCAAAAGGAGTTTTCTCGGTAGATCACCTCGTGGTCGTTCGATATGCCCAAAGGACACTTGGGAGTTCCTCATCCCATTTTCCTTTAGCTTTCTCAAGTCTTTTCTTCAACCCATCAAGAATGGTCTTGTTTGATGCTTCGGCTTGGCCGTTGGACTGCGGGTAAGCCAGGGTGGAGTTGTAGAATTCAATTTTCAATTCCTCACAAAAGCCTCTGAATAAGCGCACGTCAAATTTGGTGCCATTATCATAAATCAGAATCTTGGGGACGCCAAATCGCGTTACCACATTCTGCTAGACAAACCGTTTGACGTCTTTCTCCTTGATAGTTGCCAAGGGCTCAGCTTCAACCCATTTGGTGAAGTAGTCCGTAGTCGCGATGAAGAACTTCCGGTTGCCTGGTGCCGTTAGGAGTGGTCCCACTATGTCCAGCCCCCACATCGCAAAAGGCCAAGGGCTTGTGAGGGGAAGAAGTTCTCTGGCTGGCTGGTGAATTTGGTGGGCGAACTTCTGGCACTTTTCACATTTGCGAACATATTTCTGAGCATCCGCTTGCATGCACGACCACCAATATCTTAGCGAGATAGCACGGTAGACCAAAGATCTTCCCCCAATGTGACTGCCACATATGCCTTCATGAATCTCATACAGGAAAGCTTCTACGCTGTTTGGGTGTACACACTTGAGGTAAGGACCGGTGAAAAACTTCTTATATAAAGCGCCAGATGGAGAGAGCCGAAACTGCTCTGACTTCACCCGGACTTTATGCGCTTCCTTTTTATCAGCCGGAAGGGTCCGCTCTTTTAGGAAGAGGATAATAGGGTCCATCCAAGAAGGGCCAAGCTCGGTACAGAGTACTTCTGTTTGCTCGGGTTTCTCAATACTAGGCCTTGGAAGAAACTCAACCAAGAGAGGACTGGGAGATGTTCTATCGACCATGGAAGCCAGACCGGCTAACTCATCCGTGCGGCCGTTTTCTTCCCGTCCAATTTGTTGGACCCTTATCGCCTGAAATCACTTGATGTGGTCTCTTACCAAAGCTTGGTACTTTGCTATTCTATCATCTTTAGCTTCGTAGACCCCAGACACTTGGTTAACAACAAGTTGGGAATCGTTGTAAACCATCAGCTCGGATGTGCGCAACTGGAGTGCGCTCTTAAGTCCGGCCAGCAGCGCCTCGTACTCAGCCTCATTGTTTGATGCAGGGAATCCGAGTTTGATAGAGTGTTCGATGGTCAGACCATCTGGAGAGATCAAAACTATGCCCAGTCTGGCACCATGACGATTTGAGGCACCATCTACAAAAAGTTTCCACATTTCACCGACGAAGAGCTTCCAACACTCTGAGAGGTCTTGGGAGGCTTGAAGGTCGATGGGATCACGATCGCTCGGCTGTTCGGTTTCTGGTTTGCTGCTGTTCGGTTCTATTTCCTCTCCCCTCGGGGATACAGCACCAGACCCAACAGGTTGATCTGGTATGCCCAAGTCCGGCGTCACATCGCCGGGCTGCAGTACTATGCCGGCTGGAGGTCCTATGGCGGGGCACGCAAGTTCCGCGTCGCCAACATCGCCCTGCTGTGCAATTTCTGGCGAGCCTACATTCACCTCCTCGGCTGCCATGGCAAGATCTGCATACTGGATGAATTCGAGGAGAGAATTCAGCAACGAAATCAGCCAATGTCTGTGCTTTTATGACAGTTCAGGGTTGGAACTTGACGTCGAATTGTCCCAATTCGACCGCCCACTTGAAGATTCGACCGGAAAAATCCACCCGCTCGAACAAGGCTTTGAGTGAGAACTCGATCAAAACGAAGATCGTATGAGCATGAAAATAGTGCGCCAATTTTCTGGAGGCCATCATCAACGCTGAGGCAAGTTTTTCTTGCGGCAAGTATCTCGACTCTGCCGGTAGCAAGGTTTTGCACACGTAGAAGATGGGGAGATGCTGGATTCCTTCTAACCAGACAAGCACTGCGCTAACTGCATGTTGAGAAACGCCAGAAAGGTAGAGTTCTTTGCCGGGCTTTGGTGTCACCAATAATGCAGCAGAAGACAGATACGCCTTTAGCTCGGCCAAAGCCCTGTCATATTCCTCGTCCCATGAAAACTTGGATTTTAGGGCTCGAAAGAAAGGGCGGCAGCGATCTGATGACCGACTTATGAATCGATTAAGCGCGGCGGCCATTCTGGCCAGATGCTGCACGTCCTTCACCGAGTTGGGCTGCTTTAATTCTTGTATGGCTTTGATTTGTGTGGGGTCTGCCTCGATACCTCAGTTTGTGACTAGGAAGCCTAGGAATTTCCCGGATCCCACGCTGAAGGCACACTTGGACGCATTCAGGCGTAGCTTGTGTTGTTTGAGAATGACGAACATCTCGGCTAGGTCGGACAAGTGGTTTGCCTGATGCCCGCTTTTGACCACCATGTCATCGATGTAAGCCTTCATTGTCTGGCCTAGCAGAGGGGCGAACATTTTGGTTACCATCCTTTGGAAAGTTGCCCCAGCATTCTTCAAACCAAAAGGCATGACTCGATAGCAGAAGAGTCCCCCTGGAGTGGTGAAATAGGTTATCTCACGGTCGGGGCCATGCATGGCAATCTGATGATAACCGTGGTAGGCATCCAAGAAACTGAGCCTTTTATGTCCGGCCGTTAAATTCACCAGCTGGTCTATTTTGGGCAAAGAAAAGCTGTCTTTAGGGCAAGCGCGGTTGACGGTCTTGTAGTCGACGCAAACTCGCCACTTCCCATTCTTCTTGGGTACCACGACCGTGTTTGAAATCCACCAAGGGCAGTGTACTTCCTAAATTGCCCATGCTTCAAACAAGTTCCTTACCTCCTCCGCGACTACCTCGGCGCGATGAAGAGCCGATCTCCTTGTTCTCTGAATGACTGGCCGTGCATCAGGGAAAACATTGAGTTGGTGGCCAATAAAACTTGGATCGATGCCAGGCATGTCGTAGGGCAACCATGCGAAGACTTTGATATTTGCCATCAAGAACTCTACCATTTTGGTCCTTTCTTGAGCGATCAGGCTTGATCCGAGCAAAAAGAACTTGTTTGGACTTTCAGTGTCGATCCGTACTTCTATCAATACTTCAATAACTTTGTCCTCGGCCCTGGTGCCCACGTCATCAAGGACACTCTAGTCTTCTAGGCCTTCAATCATTTGCACGAAGCCTTTGGCAGCTTGGCTCCCATTCACTGCCACGAAACATTGCTTTGACATGACTTGATCGCCCCAAATTTCCTCAATTTCCCCCATAGCCGAGGGGAATCTCATAACCTAGTGGTAGGTCGACGCTACAGCCTGTATAACGTGAAGCCAGCCGCTTCCGAGGATCAGATTGTATGTAGACGGCACCTGCAATACCCAGAACTCCACCTGCTTGACCACGGATCCGACTTTGACCGGTAAAATTATTTTTTCCAAAGGCCACTCCGTTAGCGAGTTGAAACCTACCAGTGGCGAAGTTGTCGGAGCCAAGTCTGTATCTCGGGATTTGAGTTGTTTGAACGCGTCGTAGTATATAATTTCAACCGAGCTTCCCTGGTCAATCAAGATGCGCTTGACATCGAACTCTTTGACGCGGAGGGTGACCACTAGGGCGTCATTGTATGGCATTTGAATGCGCTCGAGGTCCCTTGTGGAGAAACCAATCACATCTTTTTTCTCGGTCTTTCCCCTTTTGATCGCAGGCTAGACTGACAAAACTTCCCTCATGTGTTCTGCCTTTTTGATCATTCCTCGGAGCTCGCACACACGCACCGGCTCCATTATGCCGTGGATCACATTAACCACTCTTTGAGGGGGTGCCTCCAAGTCCTCCGGTCCATGCGGATCAGCCGGGGCGGGATGTGCGACCTTAACACCCCCATCAATGTAAAAATCTAAGTGTTCGGCTGCGATTAACTCCTCCAAGTGTTGCTTCAGAGGCAAACAGTCCTCTGTCCGGTGTCCTCGCTCCCGGTGAAATGTGCAGCGGTGCCGTGGATTGAAGCCCTTTTGCGCGTCGCCTAACTTAGCAGGAAACCGGACGTAATCCTCGTTATGGATTTCACTAAGTATGCGATAGATTGGAATCTTAAAGACTGTGGTGATGCCCGTCTGAGCTTTCAACCTTCTGTTAGCATCAGCTACGTCATCGCGGGGGTATTCAGCTCGGTCATGCCGACAACCCCTTCCTCGGTTTCGATGATTTGTCCCACGGTCAGATTCCTCGGCGCGATCACTTGGACGGTTAGTCTCCTGTCCGACCGCGTATACCTTGCCAGCCGACCTCTTGTCTGTTACCTCCGGAGTTGTCTTCACGGTGGATGCCGCCGCATCATCCTCTACTCGGATGTTCTCATTGATGCGCTGCATTGGTTGGCCCATGGATGTCGGCTGGTTGATGGTAAGCGAGTCCCGCAGCCTATGTCTGACCGGGAGACCGCACTTATACTGGGTGATTCCCAGGTTGATCGGGCAATCTAAAATCTCATTGAAGGTTTTCCAGTATCTGGAGTTGTATGCCTTGAGTGTGTCACTCGACTCCATTTTGACACTGAAAATGTGGTCCACCCCCTTTGGCGTTTAGTGTTGGTCTTGAAACGAATCACAAAGGCTTCCGCCAACTGCTGCCACCTTTCGATGCTTCGCTCCGGCAGCCTCTCAAACTATTTCAAGCCCAGCTCACCCAAACTCGACAGGAAGATAAGGCACATAAGAGTGCCATTGCGCCTATGTCCGACCATGACCTGTTGGAAGTGGCTTACATGCATGTATGGACCGGTCTTTTCGTCGTAGAGCATAAACTTGAGCTGGTGAAAGCCCGCAGGGAGCGGTGTGGTTTCTATCTCAAGGGGGAAGGGGGTGGCGTTCAGCCTCGCCAAATCTGTGTCTAGAAGGAGAGGCACGGCTGGGCGGGGTGGTGGCATTATGACCTCTTCACTGGCGTGACCCCCGTAAGATAGCCGTTGGAGCACCGGCAACCTTTGAGTCTCTCGCCGGCGAGCCCGCTCCTTCAAGACTACCCGCAAGTCCTCTGAGCGAGCGGAGTAGGAATATCTCGACGTCGTCGCCGGACGTGAGGGTTGATAGGTACTATCTTGCGCGCTAGACTTCTCTTCAGGCGCGTCGGAATCTCCAACCCTGTAACTTCTGGTGATAGACAGTGAGGGAGTGTGCCGCTGGCTCTGACTGCCTAAACAGAGTGGTTGGGTGTGCTCACTGTGGTCTCCCACTCCAGCAACACCCATCCCTTTGACATGCCGTTTGAGAGCTTCCATCTCCGCCGCCAGTCTCCGGATGACGGTGTCTTGGTCCCTTAACTTGTGCTCCAGACGTCTAGCGTGCGATTCTCTTCGCCGCCGGTGTCCGTCTGGGCTCCGTAAGTGACCAAAACTTCTAGCGCGCTTATCATCCACGTCTCTTGAATGTCCTCCTGGAGAAGTCTCCAAGTCCACCATGTTTGGAATGATGGGGAGTCCGTCTCTCCGTCTGGCTGACTCCGGGGTGACACCATTAATAGCGGACAACGGTATTTCGTCGTTGTTCGCCATGGAAGACGATCAGATGAGCTTGGAAGACAAGGTTTTGTCTGTTGAACTTGTTCCCACAGACGGCGCCAATTGTACCGGGAGGAAATGTTCGTCGCTGTCCATACTCCTTTCATCCAAGCTCTGAATCTATCCGATCAACCTGAGAACACAACGGCGGTGAGCTACCCGGCGGTGTGTTGCCGAAAAACCCATCCGACAGTCAAGTTAGCACACACTTAGGGAGAGAGAGGGAGAGAGAGAGAAGCTGAATGAGCGTAAGTTTATCTCACCAAATGATGTTCCATGCTCAGCATGGGGGGCGCAGTCATGCTTATATACTTTTTGCGCTCAACTCTGTACCCATTAGTCTCTTGACACGAGAAGCTACTCTCCCATCTGTCAGCACAAATCCAGCAAACACCACCTAACCAAACCGTCAGACAACACTACCGGGAACTCGGTAGCCTGGCGGCATCACCTCTGCTTTACACGACCGGGCTACATAACGAGTCCCAGTGTCCACTTGCCGAGCTCCATAACAACCGAGCTCAGTAGCATTCCAGTAGAGCTGAGTTCCAGACAGGTCGAGCCGGCAAACAAAAAGCCTTCCTACCGAGCTAAACGTGCGAACCATGGAACCCGGGTTAGCAGGTGACCAACTCGGCCAGGTAAGCTCGGCCCATACACGGGGCTTGACCCTCGGCCGAGCAAGACTGATTCTGGACGCAGACAAGCCCAAGTAGCTCGACCCTAACTTGGTCCTGGACCTTGACCGAACAAAACCACCTCTAAATAGGCCCAAGTTAGCTCGGCCCAAACGTGCTCGACCATCTTCTGTCCAGCTTCTACCACGACCCAAAGCCAGATTGTAAATATATATATATTCATAAGAAAAAAAAAAATTAAGAAAAAAAGAACTATGCATCATTAGTTCAAGTAATTAACGGCAAATAATGTCAATTCAAAGTGAATAAATCACAACTGATAAGAATGTCTCTTGTCCAAAAGGATAGTTTCATTTTTTTATTTTTGCTTATCGGAATTTCAAAATTTACCTTCTCTTTTATATAGGCGCATACATTAAGGTTATATTTGAATTATAAATTTGAAAAAAAAATTGAAAAAGAAAGAAAATATGTAAATAAACTGTGAATGAAATATAACTACATTTTTCTTTTCATTTAATTTTTTCAAATCTCTGTCCAAATTCATGATCCAAACACACCTAATTCTAGTCATTTCGAAAGTAATTATTTTTTTTTGAATAACTCTATCCGTATTGATAATCTTACTAAAAATACAAAAGGTTTATATATCCAATGATGTTTTGGACATGTATATTTTTAGTAAGAGTTTGTAGCGCTGTTCTATTTTTTTTTTTTTAAATGTTATATATAATCGCATTACTTATCTCATTTTCCTTTTGTTAAATACAAAGTAGTGGGACACACATTCATAAATGTATATGAGACTCACTCAGTTGTGTTTTAATATGAGAAAAAAAAATGTAGTAGTTACGATTATACATAGTATTTTTTTTCTTTTTTCTTTTTTATACGAAAGACTACATTGATTATATATCTGTACAATAAAAAAAAGATTATGTATTTATATGTTAAAAAAATAAGAATAAAGCATACATTACAAAACGTCATTGGTTGAGCTCGCAATCATCCAATATTTTAAAATGTATGATAATTTCTACAAGTTGAGAAAAAAAAAATAATAGTAATAATAATTTTGGTGGGATGTGGATGGGGATGGGGGAGGGGGTGTGCGAGATTGGGACACCATAAAATAAACTGGTTATCAACAAAATAAACTCTTGCTTAGTGCATCATAAAATTTTCAATAACAATCTTACCACAATTATCCCATTTAATTTTCATCTGTAAGAAAAAAAAAAATTGAAAATAATATCTACAACCAAATTGTTTTATCTATAAATATTCATATATATTAGAATAGAACAATTGCATACTTTAAATTTCTACCTTAAATTTCAAAAACTGAATCTCATTTGTTTAATCTCAAACTAGGAAAAATAAAATCCAAACACTAAAAATATTATACAAATATTAAAAAATTGCTACCATTTCAAAGGTAGCTAGCTCTCATTTCCTTCATCTATCTTCCTCTAGATAGAGCCTTCTCTGCAGTGTCCATCTCTTCAAGTATTCTAGCCTTCCTCTTGGCCGGAATCGGTGCCGTTGGTCCAAAACTAATATAATGGCCTGAAACTGCATTGAGTGCCGAGTAGATATCCCGGAACGAAGGCCGGCCAAGCAGAGCTTTCTCTTTCCTGTACTTAGATACCCATGTGTTTGAGGTCTCTCTTAGCTCAGCCACTGCAGCAGCCACGTTTGGATCAGTTTTGTCCATGTTGATGGTGCTTCTGACCTTGTTGATCACCTCTTCTGTCTCCTTCACGTACTCGTCGTCCGAAGCGGCCCATGCGGTGGTGACTGGGAGGAGCAATGCGGTGGAGAGGATTCCGGCAGTGGTGAGGGAGACGAACTGGCGGCGGAGGGGTTGTGATGGGGTGGTGGTTGTGGCATTTGGGGTGGAGGTGGTGGTGGTGAGTTTTGACTTGATGGGTAGTGGGAGAAGTTTTGGTTTGGTGGCTGTGGGAGTGATTAGGGTTGGAGAAGCCATTGTTGTGGGAGGAGGGGAGGGGAGGAAAGAGAGAGTGTTTTTTAGTAATAGGGTTTGGTTTTTGCCACGTGGGCTTATCACCTTATCACCATTTTCTAGTTTATGGATGAGAAAAGGTCCAATGAGATTTTGGTGTGATATTGTTCACATGAGGTCCTTCAACTTTAATTTGACATGAATATTTTTTCTGTGGATAAATTATAAATAAAATTAAAATTCTACTCAGTTTTCATTTATACTGGATGGGTTCAGTCTAGCCATATGAGCCCATGGCATGGCTCATTTTAATAATAGAATCTTTTAATTTTCAAGATTTTGTTTGTTAATTATTAATAAAAAAAATTAAATTGATTTAATAAATTCAGTTACATGATTTTGTTATATTTGTGTTTAAAAATAAATAATAAATATAATTTTAAAAATATACTGTTAATTTCTTTAAAAAATTATGATAAAGATGTTGAATAATATTCTCAAATCAATCTAATTTTTTTTTTCTTATATAATATATGTACGGAGAATTAAAGCAAGAACATATTGGACAATTAAAATGAGCCTTGTGATCAGTCCGTGAGTTTGGTGTGATTATAATTATCGCTTATATTTATTTTTAGATTTCATAATTATATATTTATTTCGTTATTATACCGACATGGCCCATGATTTTTTTTCTTATTTTTTTTTTCATTTAGTGGATGTATCCCTCTGTTAGGAGAGTAGCCAATGAATCAAGGCATGCCATGCTTTGTCCTAAATCCATTTGTTCTCCAGCTCCCAAACCCTGGCCCAGGCCCAGGCCCATTTAAAAAATATGAACAGGACAATATTGGAGATATTGTATTTTAGTAGAGTAGTGAAAAAATAATTACATTTTTATGATAATTCAAATTTTCTGTACACATGGTGTAAGTCCATTTATATGCTTAGTGCAAGTCATTTTTATATATCAGAGTTGCACCAAAAAAGATTCTCATCTATAATGCAATTAATGTGTTACTGTTAGGGCTAGCTTGGGGTGAGGCAAGCAAGGCTGGTGTATTGGGCCTTCAGAATTTGGCCAAATAGGGCCCCAAAAATTTCTTGCTATATTTAAAATTCAAATATAGACATTGAGGCGTACATTCTTGGAGGAGTCATTGGCCAGTCCCATTAACCAGACTTATTTACCTGTATGTCCTGCTCATTTTTTCACCTATTAATATTTCCAAAAATACCTTTCCTACACCTCTTTCGACAACTCAGTCATTAGATCACTAACAAGACCCACCACTGCACACTTCTAGCCGTCGGCAATCATTTTTGACCCACGGATGATAACCTCCAACGATCTCTGGCGATCACCTCTGGCTACCTCTTCCAGTGACAGTTCCCGACACCATTTTTTAGCAAAAATAACATCATCTCCACCATATTACTACCATCACTACCTCTTTAGATTTGATAGCGACAAAAAACAAAAAAAAAAATAGAAGAATAGGCTAAAATGTTGGCTCAATCCGTCCTAATAGGTTAAAATGTTGGCTCAGTCCGGCCCAATATGACCGAAAATGTTGGCTCAGTCCGGCCCAATAGGCTAAAATAATCTTCCCAAGCCCTAAAGGAATAGGATCAAATTGGGCGGGTTAGGCAGGCCAACAAGCCAATAACCACCCCAATTTGATCTAATACCTTCTATCCTCCATAATTTGGACCTTTCAACAATTATCTCATAAATTTGTACCAGATGCAAACAACGTACAACTGAAATTTTAAATTTTATTTATTTGTATATTTATTTTATGTAAGTATTGTTGGACCAAATTGAACAAATATACATATATATTGATCAAATCTTAAGTTTGGTCCATAATATCACCCCAAAAAAAAAAATTTATTGGATTAATTATATTATCTATTGAAAAGACTTTGGTAGATAAATTAGATTATGCAAACTTTATTTTGTTGCTAAAAATACAAAAAGAGTAATGTTTCAGTGATAATTAATTCAAATTACTTTTTGAATTTTTATAAAAAAAATTTATAGAAAAGTAGAGAGGAGATATTGATTGATGTAATCCAAAAAAGATAAAAAGATGGACTTATTTAGGGGATAACAAACAAGGCGTATATATGGCTAAACTATAAAACAACAAAATCATATTTTTAGTCTTTTAATAATTTTTTCTTATGTTAATTTATGAAAATAAATTTTAGTTTATAATAATTAAATGTTTAAGTGATTTTTTTTGACTACTAACAAATAAATTTTTTTTTGTTACTCATCATTTTATCCATTTTTTTTTTATAAATATATATATACATATATAAGAGGGCCTCATTTTCGGAATTTGCCTAAGACCCCATAAATGTCAAGGCTGGCCGTGGTTATTATCCCACTTATTTGCAATTTGTCATAGAATATTTATATAAAAAATTAAGTTGATTAGACATGAGTGTAATTGCATGATCCAATCATATCTATACTATATATTAAGTAAAATGGGTTTTTTAACCCCGAAGACCTGTGGGAGCTCCAATATTCTAATCTAAATTTTTTTAATTTTTTATTTTTTAAAAAAAACTCAGCATTTATTGATTTGGTCAAAACCTTCTGATCAGCATTTATTAACTTTTTTCAATCCACATGTCTTTCCACATGCCTGCATTTATTGATTTGATCAAAATCCCCTGATCAGCATTTAAAATCCCCTCATACAAATAATTATAGATACAACTCATGGATAGTTATTGCAGTACCTTTTTTAACTTCTCTCATACACTATGGTTAGTGATAATATTGTTAAATTATTTTTATAAAAAATCTTAAAAAACATAATTTATATATTAAAAAAATCTAAAACAAAAATAAATATTTATAATTATCCCGTTCATAACACAGGCTAGTATGTCTTAAATAAAATTGACAATTTATTCCGAGAGTCATACATGTCATCTAATTTTTTGTAAAGGCAAACATTATGCGACTACTGATATTTAATTTATTTCTTTTATGATTTATTATTTGCTCTATAAATTTTATAAAATAAACGTTTTAAATAATAAAAGTAGGCCTAAGATCGACCCCACAAAAAGCATAGCACTCTAACAGGACCTCACTTCTTATGAGGTTCTTCCAAAAAAATTATGTAAAATTATCCCAATTTATAGTAAGGTTTATGCGGGTATGATGAGAAATTAAGTCGTTTGTAAAACTCTCAAAAGTTTGACTCAAAATTTTCTATTTGTTTTTAAATCTCTTTATTCAGATTTTTAACATATAGTATAATTAAGAAATTGGAGGAATAGACTCAGAAGTTAGATAATAAAAAATAAAAATAAAAATAAAATAAAATAAAGCTGACCAAAAGGAGTTTGATGAAATGAAAAAAGCTTGTATTCCCTTCAATTGTAAGCAAGCTAGGCACTGAGCACGCTTCGTTTAATTTAACAAGTCAATTGAAGATTAATCTTATGTTTCAAGTTTCTTGCCAATCATGAAAAGCTTTTTTTTTTTTTTTTTTTTTTTTTTTTTTTTCAGCTGGGAACATAGTGTTTAAAAGATATCTACAAGAGAGTTTATGTTGTGTTGGATTAAGAAATTTGGTGAGCAAAGAAAAATAATTGAAGAAAATGAGATTTTTCATCACTTGTTTGGATAATAAATGAAGTTAGAAATGATGGAAAAATATGAGAAATTGTGAGAATGTCAAATTTGTGAGAAAAGAAAAAAAAAAAAAAAAAAAAACCACCTTTAGTTTAGTTTCTCACTAAAAATGGTAAAATTAATGGGAAACCAAAATTATTCTTTACAAGAAATTTATAATATTTAAACTACTCCTTTAAATACAAAATAAATAAAATAAAAAGAAATGTCTATTTTTTTAAATCACTGTTTATTAAAATAAGTAGGTGAAAAACCTTAAGTAAATATTTCTTTTCTTTTCTCACCGCACAATACAAACAAATTACTTAAGCCAGAGTAGTGGTCGAAATATTCCTGACAATGATTGGTATATTATAAATATATTTCTTGAAGTTTGATTAAAATGTAATTTATCCTCTATGATTTTAAAAATTAAATCTCCTTTTTTAAAATTTATAATTTCATAACAAATAGTCTATTTTATTAATAAATTATCAAATTAATTAACATTTTTTAATAATATCAAAAAATTATTTCAATTAATAATTCAAGTAATTTTATCATTGTATAAGAGAGTAATTAAGAATTTTATTTTTTCAGTTAATTCTATTAAATAAATTTTTTTAACATGAAAGTATTTGTAATTTTCAAACCATAGAGGTTAATTCGTATTTTAAATAAATATCAAGAAATACATTTATAATTTAACTAATATTTTCATTTTCCACACTCATAAAAAGCATTAAAAATTAAAAATATCATTCGATAGTCAATAATACTATACACTCAGAACTTTTTTTGAACGAAGCAGTAATTTCATTAAGAAACAGCAAATAAAGACCTCTGCAAGGCTCTAGGAAGGTTAACCGCGCAATTGACTAGTAAGAGGACCCTAAGAGTGTCCGCATCAAACTTTTCAATTTTTTAGTTAAATTAAGGGCAAATTACATATACTTCTCTTGAGATTTGATTAAATTATAGATATCTCTTTGAGATTTTGAAAATTATATCCCGTCCCCTAAGGTTTGTATTTTTATAACAATTTGTCCCCTGAGGTTTAAATTTCATAACAAATTACTCCCTAATTTGTTATGCAAATATAACATTCAGGGAAGAATTTGTAATTTCTCAAACCTCAGGAGAGTATTTGTAATTTAGCTAAATCTCGAGAGGATATATGTAATTTGCCCTTAAATTAAAGTTATTTCATTATTTTAACTAGTCATTTTTTAGCACTTACTGCATCAAACTCTTTATTTTAACTTATTCTTATTAAATATTATTTTCTTGCTGTGTTTGTTAGTCTTTCTTTTATTTTTATTAAATTGATAAGTTACCAGCTAAATAAATTTTTTTTTTTAAAAAAAAATTGTCGTTGACCGGTTGACCGGCCGGACTTCCGGGTGGACATCCGATAACACACAAGTAGTAATAAATAA